ATTGAAGAATCTCACAGTGAGTGGACCAGCCCTGTCGTTCTGGTTCCTAAGCCAGACAAAACCAACAGGTTCTGTAATGATTTCAGAAAATTGAATGAAATTTCCAAGTTTGATGCGTATCCTATGCCCAGGATAGATGAGCTAATTGATCGGCTTGGGGAAGCCAGGTATATCAGCACTCTGGACTTGACGAAAGGGTATTGGCAGGGCCCACTTGAAGCAGCCTCAAGAGAGAAGACGGCAGGGCTGTACCAGTATACTGTGCATCCCTTCGGGCTTCATGGAGCACCAGCCACGTTCCAGAGACTGATGGACAAGGTTCTGAGGCCACATCGTGAGTATGCAGCTGCCTATTTGGATGACGTTGTTATCCACAGTGACTCATGGGATAGCCATCTCATAAGGTTTGCAGCAGTGCTGGAATCTCTCCGCAGGGCGGGCTTGACAGCCAATCCAAGAAAATGCAAGCTTGGACTGGAGGAAGCCGAATACCTGGGCTTCACCATTGGGCGGGGCAACGTTAGACCACAAGAAAGGAAGGTTCAGGCGATCCAGGACTGGCCACGGCCGTCAACAAAGAAACAGGTGAAAACCTTCTTGGGTCTGACATCCTACTATTGCCGTTTCATCCCAAACTTCTCCACAGTAGCCTCTCCCCTTACAGACTTGACCAGAGACTCACAGCCGCTAATGGTCAAGTGGACAGGAGAGGCTGAACACGCCTTTGAGGGACTTAAGAGGGCTCTCTGCGCACGGCCGGTGTTGGTGACCCCAGACTTCAGCCGGGGGATGATTGTGCAGACGGATCCCATCATGTACATCAGCCGGAAGCTGAACACACAGGAACAAGGGTATGCTACTGTGGAGAAAGAAGGCCTAGCAATAAAATGGGCGTTTGAGCGCCTCCGGTATTACCTCTTGGGACATCACTTCACTCTGGTAACTGATCATGCCCCACTGATCTGGATGGCAAATAAAAAAGACACAAACGCTAAAGTAGGAAGGTGGTTTGTGCAGGAGTTTAACTTCTCTATCATCCACAGAGCCGGAGCCAAGCATGGGAATGCAGATGCCCTGTCCCGTAGAGATGCCCTGTGGCTAACACCACAGTGATGTTCTTCAAAGAAAATAACATGAGCTCATACTATACCTTTGAGTTGCTTATCACACTGTAAAGAAACTGAGAGGCAGAGTAGTGGGAGGCACCTACATTCCCAATAGGTGGCTCCACCCGCTTCCAATTAACAGTATTGGGAACAGGTGTGGATACCTCACACCTGGTGCTAATCACTCCCTCAAGGGAGACAAAGCACACAGAGTTGCTCAGTTGTGTGTGGCAAATGGAGGCAGCAGGAGACTCCCAGCGTGAGGAAACATTTTGTAAGCTGGTAAGTCGGTTAGCGGCCCGGCTACATTAGCCTTTGTATAGTTAAAGGTATTTTTGAGTTTAACAGCAATAAAGCCTATTTTTTGGACTTGAACACTGCCTCTGTCGTGATTGCTACACTACCACTTTTCTCTTTATCTGCCCAGTCCTGTTACAACACATAACAATAGTGTTCACTGATTCTGGTACACTAACTTGCTTTACCATGCTTTCAGCAAGTGTACTGAGATGACCCATACATCTGGCATTGTAAGGAGTCTAGGAACCTGTTTCAATGTCATTCTTCACTGGTTTCTTCAATATGTTAGGTTTTGTCAGTGAGGTTGTGTTTCATTTAGGTCTCTGTTTTGATTTGCATTTGAAGGTCTTCATGCTTTAAAAGCATTATGTAAAGCATTTTGCATTGCCTTTGTGGATGAAATGTGCTGTACAAATAAACTTTCCTTGCCTGCCGAAGCTAAATGTATTCTAAAGAATGTCGGGGAGATTTAATGATGTAAGAACTGCAGCCCATTGTATTGCAAATAGGGGGATGTACACAGTAACGGGAACAGAAACTGCAGTAGTCTCAGTGCTAAGACAGTGTGAAGAAATGGTAGACTTCATCTGTTAAAGCAGAAGTCATAGTGTTGAGAGCTTGCTCAAAACATTTTGTAAATCAAATCCATCTTAAAAATGCAGGTGTTTTCAACCCAATACTATAATACTGTCGCCTATTTCCTAATCCTATTTTATTTTACCTCCTTTCAGGTCCGTAAACCTGGGAAAAACCTGGGATTTCTTACAAGAAACTCTTCCGATATTTACATTACCGGATGAGAGTTTGCTGGGGACGAAGCCTCAGACTGCAGAATCAGCTGCAGGGAAAGATTCCAGCTTTAATGACTGCAAGAATGATCCCACAGAGCAGGAGAAAAGTAAAGGACTGAACTGTGACGCACACAAAAGCACACGCACACACAAAAGCACACACACACACAAAAGCACACACAAAAGCACACAAACACAGAAAGGCATGCAATTATGCAAACATGCAGACCCGGAAACATACATCTCTATTACACACTCTGCTTCCACAATAATTGAGTGAGTCAATTAAATCAATCACCCATTAGATTGAGAGCATTGGAATGCACATAATACTTAAATACAGCTTATTACTCCATCAGTGGGCTGTTTGAAAAATGATATCGATGGTCTACTATATGTGCTGCGCTATACTGTATGCAGTATTTGTATATATGTACAGTTTGTAAATGCACTGTGTGTGTAAATCTCAATTTTCCTCCCTCTGCATCCATAATTCAACTGCTATGGAGCGTGACAATGAATATTTCATTGTCCTACAGAAACTCAATCCTATCAATGATACCATTCTATTATTCCAGAAATACGTCGTATATCTTTGCAACATTCATATTTGTTTAATGTTTTGCTGTGAGACTTGAAATACACTCCCGGCTGAAGGTCGCTCACACACATATTACAAAACACCTTGAATTGTGAGCCAGTGCTCTGCTACCTCTTTCCCGTTGTTTCAAGCATCACTTCCTGTTTTCTAAAGCTCATGTATTATGGAGCGCAGGGAGGGTTAATATGTGTATGGTGGACTATAAATAACCCAGCAGAGGGAGCAGTGGCAGGGTGAATTATTTGGTGTTCCCGCAGGGCAGAAGAGCCTCCCAAGTTAAAGGTGGGTATGTGATGAATGTCCTCAGAAAACAGTGTGTGGCTTGAAGATGTTTCAGGTCATTAACTTAGAGAGATAGAGTTTAGGCAAGGCACGGCACGTTTATTTATATAGCACCTTTCAAAACAAAATGAAAGACATTAAGAAGTAGTGCAGTGGAAACGCATTCTAAAAAGTTTAGGCTTTATTTAGGTTTAACAATTCATTTAAAGAATCATATGTACTGAAAAACTAAACATTTAAAGTATTTAAATCAACATGATTGGACAGGAATTGCTTTTCCACTCTTCCCTCTCTTGCACTCGTATTTTACCACCTGCCCTGTTCGCCTGCAGTTTGTTCCTCTGTCTCTCCTTTAATTCTGCTGATGTGCAGGAATACAGGAAGTGTTACTAACACAATGACAGGTATTCACAAAATGCATTACTTAAAAACATTTCTCCTCTAGAAAAAGGTGCTTCTCATATACATGCATGCAAAGACCAAAACACGTTCTCTCTCCGTCTCACTGTTTTTGTGCCCACTGTTGTATTCCATCGAAGTACATACTCTACATTGAAATGCATAAATCACTATGCAGCATAAGAAGCACTTCTCTGTTCAATACTTAATGCGCAGCCTTTATATTAGTCCAGCCGTGCTCTCTTCTCTACGGTCCTTCAAATTGATTTTCCATGTTTCATGGCTCATGTGCTCCACATACTCTAAGATGCCCCATAGGAGCAGGGCCATCCATAGCTAACCTACATACTCTCTTGTTGCCTTATTTATACCTGTGGAGGCCAATAGTGCTTTCAGATCTCCAGGGCTACACATTACATTACACTTTCTATCGTCTTTATTAGGTTTACTTTTAGATGGCACTTAGTTTCACTGTATCGTTGCATTTAATCTAAGTCAATCCATCATTTAAGTTGTAGTAAATTGCACTGCGAACTGATACATTGCAAGGTGTAAAATGTCAGTCACAGAGTGTATATATATTTTGTATCCATATTGGACTGTCTGTGTTTACTTGTGTTTCTGTGAGTTTGCATGTGGGGTTTACTTATGTCAGTTTCTTTGTGACTTTCTCAGGTACCCCTGAGGTAGTGGTGTGTGCCAGCTACTACCCTTTACAGCCACATCATAATTCCTTTGGGTTTGGACAAATGGTATGTATTTTCTCTATCCCTGCTCTCCGCTGCTATGCATACACCTGATCATTTCATACAGATTTATTTACTTCTGTCACACTGAAACGAGACACATTTGCGTGAAGAAATTGTTATCTTGCACATATAGATACAAGTAAATATAAAGACAATTTTTAAATGGCCAAATTTGATCTAATTAACTCCCACATGTTAATGATTTTACACGACATTTGAGAGATAAAGATACATTTCAGTACTTCTAAGTCACCTCTGCACGTGTGCGCGAGGAGGTGTAGCAGTATGGAACATGGCTGTCCATTGCATGCATTATATAGGCTTATTACACAGCATTGAGTTTGCAAATTCCGGAAGCTTAAGCTGTTTCTGGACTAAAATCACGAGTTATTTCTTATTGCTAAATCCGATTGCAAAGTATAATTTTATTAGATCATCCACTGCAGGCATAATGCACGGCAAGCAGGGGCGTCGGTGGTGTGTGAGGTTGATCCAACTCTCTCTTGCTGTAATATCTTTTTTAGCATTGGCCCTATTATGCCATCATACCTCTGTTATGTAGCATAGTAATGTGAAAAATGTTCTGAAGCCCTAAAGTAAAAGTGGGCGGTGGAGATGAAACATAACAGGGCTTGTTACCGGGGGGCATGGTTTGTTCTATTTGGATGCTTCCCCTCAACAGGCTTCACTTGTTTTATTATTTATACCCATGCTAAGGCTAATTGGTGGACAGGATTTCCTTTTGTGAGAGGTGTTGCATCACCTCCACTCTCTGATCTTGGGTCAAAATCCCCTTTGAACAGTTTGACGTGATTAACATGTAGAGTTGGTTACTGGTATAGTATAGTAATAGATAGTAATTATTAATATTACCGAGTATCTTTTAAAACTGCAATTTTCACATATTGATGGGTTGTTACTGCATGTGTATTTATATCTGTGCTTTTGTCTATGTGTGGACACACATTTTTTATTACTATTTAACTGTATTTTATTTTATTACGGTGTAAAATATTTTGTGTTTTATATTAGATTTCTTGTTTTTTGTATTTTATGTATGCACCATGACATCAAGTCAAATCCCTAGTATGTGCGAACCTACCTGGCAATAAACCTGTTTCTGATTCTGATTCTGACAGGCTAATTCCTCAGAGTGCCTTCGTCAGTATGGTCTCTCCTTGCTGTGCAGCCACATCGTCTTGTTGACCAGAACCCGGGCTTGCCAGCTTGAGGCACCACCCAAACCTCCACCTGTACCACAATGGAAACTCATCCGCCCGCCGAAGGAGATCAATGTCACGGATGAACCACGGAGTAAGAGAGAAACAGAGAAAGAGGAAGGAAATGTTCAAATTAAGTTTGAAAAAAGGTTGGAAGGGGGAAAACAGGAGGAGGATGCAGAGGAGGATATCTAAGACATAGAAAAGTACAAATTGTGTGATAGAGTGTAGGTGAAGGTCATAAATAAAAACGACTAGAAAGGAGAGCGAGTGCTAATGCAGGATATTTAGAACCTGCAGTACAGAGGGCATTCTGCACCACATGTTGAAATGAGAAAAGAAGGAGGATAGCTAAAATATTTCTGTAATGAAAATAGCTGCTGGCTCGGGCATATCTGACATCAGCTGATCTGAGTGGAGCGAAAAGGTAGTCAGGAGTGTGAAAAAGCATGCTGGCATGATGTGAGAGCTCTTTTTTTCTTCTCTCTTTTTACAGAGCTTTCTTTGTCCAAACCAGAGCAGTTCATTGAGGTGGCCAGCCCTTTTCTCTCCTACAGTGTCAAGAGCAGCGCTGGCCCGATCCTGGAGCTGTGCGTACACTTAAATCATCTAAAACTTAGAAATTAAACTAGATGAGTCTTTTCTTTCTTCATGTACTTCTGCTCGTTTAACTGAATTGTATTACTTGTCCTTAGCTAACCCTTTTCTGAGCTCAATGCAGAGGAAGGAAAGCAACAAAACTGCCAATACCTGGGGAAGAAATACCTATTATCATGATCATATTAGTTTTATTTATGATCTACTGTACCTCTGCCCACAGTTCTCCCTGCAGGAATGACATACAGTTAGCATTTGAAAAAATCTAATGATATGTGCAGTTTATTTTATTAAACATTCTTGCATTAACAATTGCACATTAGGATTGCTTTGTTCCCAGTTTACTATTACTAAACTCACTGAAAGAGATTTTAAAAAGTATTAATCACAGAATACAGCAGTTACGGTATAATGCTGTTATGGTTTCGTTTGATGCATATAAAGAGACATGCATAACTCATTTGTAAAAGATATGGTGTATAATACTTCTAAATGTGTTACCATGAGATGTGTGTATGTCATGATCATGAAATGACCCATGTCCACATAGAGCATGACTATATCTTTGTGTAACAGAGAGGCCAGGAAGAGCGCTCAGGGGAAACAATCCCATGGATCCCCTCTGGTCTCCATCGCTGAGAGAGAGGAGACTGATTGCAGTGGAGGCCTTGAGCCTGACGCCGCTGAACGCACCACAAACAAACCAAACGGCACAACAGGCAAAATAGAGGTACATACAATTACAGGTTACTAGGGTTGCATTTTATAATCAGCCTGTTTGTGATTTGCACGTTACAGAGAATCTTCTTTTTGAGGTCACCCTTAGCCATTTATTGAAATAGGTATTGGGATCTGTGAAACCCAGTGTGATGCTATTCGTAGTAGCAGATGTCTGCATTTTGTTGCCAAATGTTGTTTTCCCTCCTTTATTATTATTTTCTTATTTGATGTTTGCCTCTCTCTCCCCTCCGTCTACTCTGCAAGTATGCAGTTGAAGGCTCATCTGAGTAGCTCTGTGTGTCAGTGACAACAAGAATGTCATCCCCCGGTCTCAAAGTCACTTCTGTTGTCTCCCAGCCAGGCCACCACTGACCAGGGGCACATCGACTAAACACAGAACCAGTGAGAGAAGGGAGGAGGGTTCAGAGCAGCAGCAGGGAGACAAACACAGACATAGACGAGGAAAAAAAGCAAGATAAGAGGAAGAAGGAAGACAACTCTACAGACAAATTGGGACTGAAAAATGGAAAGAAGAAGACAGATGAAAGTGGAGCAGGAAACAGAGGGAGATGGGAAAAGACAATCTCTGGTGTGGCGGTGGCGGGGAACGGGCGCGTGGGTTTCATACAGGAAGAGGTCGTGTACTGCGTTGATGAAAAAAGCAGTGCAATTAGATGGTGAGCCATCAGTGTCTGCGTCTCCTGGGGGGTTCATTATTACACTTCATTCCTAGCATACAGAGAAAAAATAGAGTTCATATTAATCGCCCTCTTGTGTAACTGTGACCAGTTATAGAGCGGTTAGGCTAGGGCAGTATGGACACACTAATTTGATTTGTCGTTTGATGTGTGTGTGCACATGCACTCGTGTATTGGTCTGTGGATGTGTCATATGTGTGCCACATTTTCGCTGTGGCTCTCGTGCTGACGTCACTGCACATTAAGTGAGATGGGGTTTTGCTTTTTTGACCCCTTCCTGTGTTTGTCTCTACTCTGGCCAAGAGTATCAACCTCTGGGCCTAACACCTAGAATATAAGAAGGCGGTGTCACATGATGTCCCTAATACCTGTTACGGTTGAGTGAAGGAAGCAGGACCCAAATGCAGATAACTCTGATTAACATTTATTTCAAGGATAATGAAAATAACTCGGACAAAACAGAACACTCACCGGTGAACTCAGTCACCAACAAAAGACGAACCAACACTGAACACAGGAAGAGACAAGACTAAATACAGGGAGGGGTAATCACAAGACGAGAAACAGCCGGGCAGGGGAGGAGAAACACAAGGGCGACAGGTGAACACAATCAGACACACCAGGGAAACTAACGACAGGGAGGAAAAACACAGGAAGAAGGACCAGACAATATACAAGGAGGAAAACACCCATAACCAGACATACAAAACCTCTAGCAAACGTGACATATCATAAGAATCCTGACAGAACCCCCCCCTCAAGGGTCGGATTCCAGACGTCCCTAAAAAAAACAAAACACAAAAGTCCAAAACCTCTAGCAGGGTGGGTGGAGGGGGTCCGGAGGACGGGTTTTGTGCTGACAGCCCAAGAGCACAGCGGAGGACCCGGAAGGGATCTCGGGCGGACGGCCCGGGGGCAAGGCAGAAGCCGAGAAGGGGGACTCGGGCGGACGGCCCGGGGGCAAGAGTCCAAGGTGGGGCGAAGGCCACAGCGGGCGAACTCAGGGGGCCGAGCATGAGGGCGAAGGCAGCGGCAGGAAGAGTCAGGGGGCTGGGCCCGAGGGCGAACACCGCGGCACTCAGGGGGCCGGGCTCGAGGGCAAAGACCGGACAGCTCCGAACAGGAACCGGAGCCGGTGGGACAGGCTTCGACAGGATCCCCCACGGAAGGGGACCAGGAGTTGGCAAGACCCCCGGCGAGACAGGTGGCGGCGGGACCTCCAACGGAACAAGACATGGGATTGGCAGGAGCCCCGGCAGAAGAGTAGTCGGCGGGACCCCCAACGGGTCAGGACACGGAGTTGGCAGGACCCCCAGCGGAAGAGTTGTCGGCGGGACCCCCAACGGGACAGGACATGGAGTTGGCAGGACCCCCAGCGGAACTTCCAACAGCACTTCAGTAGGGACTTGAGTAGGGACTTGAGAGGGAACTCGAGAGGGGACTCGAGAGGGGGCTCGAGAGAGAGGACTCGAGAGGGAACTCGAGAGGTGACTAGAAAAGGGACTCGAGAGGTGACTCGAGAGGGGACTCGAGAGGTGACTTGAGAGGGAACTTGAGAGGGAACTCGAGAGGAGACTTGAGAGGTGACTTGAGAGGAAACTGGAGAGTGGACTCGAGAGGGAACTCGAGAGGTGACTGGAGAGGGGACTTGAGAGGAAACTGGAGAGGGGACTAGAGTAGGGACTTGAGAAGGGACTAGAGAAGGGACTAGATAAGGGACTAGAGAAGGGACTTGGGAAGGGACTTGAGAAGGGACTAGAGTAGGGACTATTGAAGTGACTAGAGGAGGGACTGGAGAAGGGACTCGAGAAGGGACTAGAGAAGGGACTAGGGAAGTAACTAGAGGAGGGACTTGAGAAGGGACTTGAGAAGGGAATTGAGTAGGGACTAGAGAAGGGACTTGGGAAGGGACTAAAGGAGGAACAAGAGAAGGGACTAGGGAAGGGACTCGGGAAGGGACCAGAGGAGGGACTGGAGAGGGGACTATGGCTGCTAGGGCTGGAACCAGGGCCGGAACCATGGCCGCTGGGACCAGAACCGGGGCTGGAACCATGGCTGCTGGGGCCAGAACTGGGTTTGGAACCATGGCTGCTGGGACCAGAACCGGGGCTGGAATCATGGCTGCTGGGGCCAGAACTGGGGCCGGAACCATGGCTGCTGGGGCCAGCACTGGAGCCGGAACCATGGCTGCCGGGGCCAGAACTGGGGCCGGAACCATGGCTCTTGGGGCTCGGGCTGCTAGCCTGGACTTTCGACTCCCTCTCTTAGGAGCCTTTTGGAGGCTCCGTGGACCTCCAAAAGCCAGACGAGTTCCAGAGAACGGCTCCTGGACAGGAGCATGAACTGGGGAAGAAGCAAGGGTTGACTCCAGACGGAACACACCGAGGCATATGGTGTCAGGTTGGGAATTGGGAGGCAGGGAGCTAGCATGCCTGGGGCTATCAGGCTGGGAATCACACACTGAGAGGAAATTCAAAATCCAACCAGGTAAGAATTTCACCAAGCCTGGTTTTTCCGTAGCCATCTGGCGCGCCTCTGCCAGAGCAGCCTCTCGCTGCCGGACGCTCCCCTCCATCGATCTGGGGCCAAAGAAAAGGAAAAATCCAATAATTCCTGCTCAAATGGATCTGCTGGGCCCATCCTTGGTTGGTTTATTTATTTCAAGGATAAGAATAAAACTAGGACAAACGGAACACTCCCCGGTGAACTCAGTCACCAACAAAAGACGAACCAACACTGAACACAGGAAGAGACAAGACTAAATACAGGGAGGGGTAAACAGCCGGGCAGGGGAGGAGAAACACAAGGGCAACAGGTGAACACAATCAGACAATTAGACACACCAGGGAAACTAACGACAGGGAGGAAAAACACAGGGAGAGGGACCAGACAATATACAAGGAGAAAAACACCCATAACCAGACATACAAAACTACAAACGTGACACATCATAAGAATCCTGACAATACCCTCATTGGCCTACTTACTCAACATTAGTGTGGGTAAAATAATTAGACCTTGGTGAAACGGTGCTGTTTTAAACTGAAATGCTTGGAATGTGGTTAATCCCTAAAGCCCCTCCGTGGTTTAAAGGGGACCTATCATGCAAAATGCACTTTGTGATGTCTTTTAT